ATTCAAATTCATCTTGATAGCTAGTCCTTACACTCTATTTTTTTTAGAAATTATTTATTTACTTGCAGTCCACTTTGAGTTTTTTAAAAAAGTAACATAAATTAATTTTGTGTTACTTATTTAGGTTTTAAAGGGGAACGGTCACATGACTCAAAGGACAGATAAGTCATAGTCGCTGCTGATGTATATCTGAAACTTTTAAAATCAAAGTTCTTGTGAAATTTTTTTAAAAAAATTTTTTTTGAAAATTTTTTAATTTTCTTGGTAACATTTTGTGAAATTGCCACATCCACTCATGTTTCTTTACGCGGAGTCTAATGTCAGTGACGTTAGTGACAATGTTTGATTCTCAGTGCAACGAGATCAAGCCACATTGGTTACACGCGTCATGAATAATTTTTTCATAAAACATTACTGCATTCATAGTGATGTTTCTGAAGCAGATTTATTTTTCAAGTTTTCCTGTGGCGTCACAATTGATTTTCCATACTCGTAAAATGTAAATGTGAAGCATTTTTATTAAGGAATAACTGTCTAATTTTTTGGTTTCATGATGTGATCAATGAGTGGCTTGCCTGATAAATTTTCATAAACGCCAATGCAAAAAACCCTGGGCAGTTGAAAATTTTCTAGCTTATCTCATATTTATCCCCTTTTTCTCTTGGATATTTCTTATTTGATTTTTGTATCCGATTCATTTACAACCAATTTTTTTGTGAATTTAAGTAAAATAAAGGAAATTCCTTTATTAAAAAAAATTGTAAATGATGTGTATATCAAAACATGAGAAAAGGAATATCCTGATTTTGGTTGGATATGATTTTTGATGATTATGTTTTTTTTTTAAAAGATGTATTTTTTCCCCCTTAAACTCAAGGATAAAAAACATCAAAAAGTTCTATGGGTAAAAAAAATATCCCAAACACAAAATTTGGGAAATCCTATATTTCGTCAATAAAATATGAATTAAAAGAGTATAAAATCTATGTTACCTGAGTCATTGAGTGCAATATCTTCTTCTGTGTTTAGATTGTTATCTGAATATAATTTAACATTCATTTAAATTGGGCTGATATTTGGTGAAATATTATTTTAAACATTATTTTAAAGGTGTTATAAAACATAAAATGTTTAAATTTAAAATTAAAATTCACTGCATCAACTCTTCTTACGCTCTTAACCAAAGCAATAATAAATCTATTTTTTTAAATTTTAAATTTTGAGTACATAAGGCGAGAGGAGATTCTTTTTGTCTAATTGGCACCCTCCATTGATGATTGACTGAATGTTGTTTAACGTTCCTCTCGAGAATTTTTCACTCATATGGAGACGTCACCGTATGCCGATGAAGGGCTTCAAAATTCATCCTATACGGCACCCCGGGCAATTAAGCAGTGAGGGTTCTTTATCGTTCCAACGCCTACCGCGACACGGGACCTACGTTTTTAAAGTAATATCCTAAAGACCTGTGACTTTCACTTTTAATGCCAATCGTTTAGCGTCTTAAATTGACACGGCGCTGCGAACGAGAATCGAACCCGGGTTCTCCCGATCACAAAGCGAACGTTCTATCACAAGGCTACCGTGACCGGTGGCACACTCGAATGGACGGGAAAAAAACTATATACCCCTTAATCGTAAAAAGTAATTACCTGTTTGTTTTCTTCAACACAATACATATCACAACAGAGACAGTGGATATTAGAAGTACCATGCAGGCGATGACAACAATAATAACTATGAGATTGATAGAGTCCTGAGGGTCGGCTTCTGTAGTCGTCATGTGCTGAAAACTTTAAGAATTTTTAGCTTCTTTGAGAAAGGCACTTTTCAAAAAGTAAAAAAAAAAAATGGTGAAATTGGACTGCCTTGGCTCTTAACTGGGGATAATTGAATTCAAAATAAATACTACTGTAGAAGCACAAATTTTCGTGGGCATAAAATTTCGTTGTTTTCTCATCAAAAATAGTTTCGTGGGCATTTAATTTCGTTGTTTTGAAAGTAACCCTATTCAATATATAGTCATATAAAATTTCGTGTGGGATTTAATTTCGTTGAATATTGTTAACAACGAAATAAACGAAATTTAATCCCCCACGAATATTTGTGTTTTTACAGTATTTTCTTTATATTTGAACTTATTTGTGTGTAAATTTCATTTATTTAAGTAAAATTATTGACAAACTGTAATAATGACATATTTACAATAGATTCAGATATTTAAAATTTTGTTAATCTGAGAAACTTACGTCTTATTTATGAATACAATAATACATATTCAGCCAAAGTGTAACAATATATATACCCGATATTATATAGGAAATAAGTAAGGACAATCATTGCATGGTGAAATGTGAGTTATGAATACAATTTTAAACCCATTTGAATCAATTTATAAGCATTGGGGTTGCAATAGTAGTGATTTTTCATAATTTTTTCCCTCACATTTTTTTTCTTTTCAAAAAAACTTCTCTATCACTCATTAAACAAAAATAACATTTTAAAAATTTTCGGGAGCATTATTACGAGGGTTGATCCAAAAGTAATGTCACAGTGTCCATATCTTTTATATTTCGCGTCATTTATTCAAATACAATATGCCAAAAGATGCACAAATATCAATCTTATTAACATTGAAATTTTAATTTAATAATGTTTATTTGAATTTATTTTATGGATGTTTAAAATATAGAGCATAGGGGGTGTCGCCGCGTTACAACGAAACATCACGTTTTAAAGTGTATTTTTATTTTTTCTTAGAATGACAAAGACAAACACATTAAAAAGATTCTAAAAAGCACACAATCTCTTAATTTTTTTTAAGACACAATTCTCGTAATATTCTGGTCTTTAATTTAAAATTAATGAAGGCATTGGTATTTGCGATCATAAACATTGTTGTTTTACTCTTTTGAATTGAACAAAGGGATTGTCGAAACGGGGAATAAAAGGTTCGACGAGTTGTCATGGATTTTTGCTTTAAAACATGGGAATCATCACTAGCGATATTTTCGTTAATCAACCAGACTTACAGAATAAAGAATGTAAATAAGAGACATCTTAAAAGATCGTTTCAGCAATTTTGGGCGGGTGATCGGTCACTGAATGATTAGCAGAGGACAAGAAGTCGGAGAGGTAGGAGATCGGACGGAAACGTGCTGACATCAAAAAAGACAGACGTATAGAGTTACATGTTAACTTTTGAGTTTGTCTTATACTACTGTTCAAAAAATTTTGACAGAGGGCTAAATTATGAAAAGAGTGAGCGTATAATGGTACTACTACAAGGGCGCATTGTTTAACATCCGATATTTTGAAAAGTATACATCATATTCCTTTGAATTTTTTAGGTCTTAAAACTTCCATCATGTGTAATTTTGTTGCTTTACGTCGATTTATAGCAATTTTATCAAAGTTGTGACATTACTTTTAGATCAACCCTCGTATATCTCCCTCTTTTAAAAAAATTTAACAGTAAGAATTACCTGAGTGTGCTTGCTATTCTAGTCCTATCCAGGCACACGGAAACTGAAATAGATGAAGTCGATTGAAAAATATACTGGTAGCCATTTTTTGAAATTATATTGCATTTTATATTTCTTTAATGGATATAGACAATACAGATTTCATAATATGAATGTTTTGAAAATTTAGGTTTTTTTCGACCATTACAGTAATATTACATTGGTTTATATCATTACATTTGTATACTTCATTAGACCAGAATGTACTGTTAGGACAGCCATCAAGCAGACATGCTGTAGCATCGATCCTACCGGCCTCTGAGTTATACTCTGGGCACATATCTGTAAAAGAAAAGTAAAAACACTATAGCATCCATACATTTGTAAGTGAAAGGTTTAAATAATATCAAATTAAGGAACAGCTTTTATTACTAAGTAAAGAAAGAATAGCTTTTCTCCATCACATTGAAGGGATTTCGCTATTCTCTTTTCATTTGGCATTTAAAAGTATAATTCTGACGTTTAACACAGTTGCGATTGGGTGAACATTAGCTTGCAAAATACAGTTTTATAAATTAATGTACATATTGCATTTCTCACTCTGAATTGAGTTGCTCAAAACACTGGTTAAGGCTAACCACTGGTTAAATCTCTTATCCAGTGGTTAACTTTTAACCGTTGGTTAAATTCTGTTGCTCAAAATTTATCCACTGGTTAACTTTGCTATCCAGTGGATAAATATTGGCTAAAGTTAGCCATTCCACAGAGGTGGGTTAAGTCTCTTTAACCAGTGGATAATTATGGCTTCTAGATTATTGTTCAATGTTAATTTCGGCAGACGACAGAGGAAACAGAGAGTTTTTAGACATATTCAACATGAGTTCGATGCTGATGAATATCAAGAAAGATATAGGTTTTCTCAAGAAACAGTTAATTATTTAGCAAATTTATTAGATCCTAAGTTATGTCGCCCAGCCATGAGATCCCACTCACTTGCAGCAATAAGTCAAGTAGAAATGGCTTTGCGATATTATGCAACGGGTGACAATATGAAAACTATAGGAGATACGATGGGGTTCCACGTCTCCAGCGTCAGTAGGAGTGTTCGCGATGTATCTCAGGCTCTCGCTGACATTGCAGAGGATTATATCACGTGGCCCACCTCTGCTGATGAAATAAACAACATCAAAAGGGGTTTCTATAGCATAGCAAATTTTCCTGGAGTCATTGGAGCAGCGGACGGCACTCATGTTAGTATTATCGGACCCACATTGCATGA